TTCATCAGTGAAAGCTGCCACTGTTGATAATTCCAAAAATCACAAATTACTTGTTTCCTAGTTGGTGCCGTCTCTTTTCTTCCACGTTCGACCAATTTATGCGTTTGAAAGAGCTGTTTAAGCTTCCCCATGCTACAAGCTTTGTAACTTGTACCAACTGCACATATATGCAGGTTCTCTGAGCGTCGCTTCAAGTAGTGACTGTGACATGGCTGCAGAAGCTGCACTGCAAGGTGCGGATGAGCTTCAGTTTGTGTTATTATAAGCCTCTTACTGACACATTGTCGTAATTTCATCTCTTCAGGACCTGCGGTAGAGGCTTCAGAAAGCGGCTCCCACACATTGAGGTGCCCCGATGAACAGGGTGCGTTCAGTGTCGCGATTTCTTTTTTTTTTTTACCCAAATTGACTGTTGACCAAACCTCTGCAGGTGGCAGCTCCCTTGTAGCTGGTGAAAGAATTTCTGATGATTTCGTCTTGCCGGAGAAAACCTTAACCAGTCGTTCAGCTGTCACAAAAGGAACTTGTGTGGCCGGTAAGTTGTATGTTCACTTCAACACCAGAGTGGATTGATATAGAGACTTCCGCAGGCCGCTCGCAAGATTGTTCCGACAGCATTGTCCGAGGCACTGAACAAGCTTCACAAGACCCTCCAGAAGACGTCTCCGCCAACAGCTCCACGCCTGAGTGCCTTAGAGAAAATGGTGACTATGCTTTTATTGCAGCAGTTTTTAATGTGCTATTTTATGTTTAGGACATTCTGAGGAAACTATCCTCAAAAGGACACTACGTGTGCACTTACAAAATGTAAGGGTGGGCTCTCAGTGATTTTCATTTTTTTTGTGCATTGTCAACATTGTGAATGGTTTGTTTTTAGGTAGTGGAATCGAAAACTTTGTACCACAGAAAGTTGTGCACCTTGGGTCTGAAAGAGCGAGGAAAGTGCTCGTATGGGATTAGTTGTTCTTCGCTTTTACATCAATTTTTTTGTTTATTGCAGTGCGTTCCTGTGTGCCAGCGACAATGTCTCCATCAATGAAGTACAAGCAAACCATTAAACATCTGCAAGCCAAAGTAGCAGCACAGCGGAAAACTATCAAAAGACTGCAGAGACAGCCTCACCAAGCACCGTCATCGACTACGAAGGCCCTTGAAGTTATCCGACCGCACGTCACCGAGGAGGTTTTTAAACTTCTTTCTGCACATGTTCGCTTGAGGCCCAAATGCAAGGGCAAGCGGTTTCCCGTGTGGTTCAAGAAATTCGCTCTTCACTTAAACTTCCGAGGTCCGCGAGCATACCGATTTCTGGCTCCGTATTTTTCTTTGCCCTCCCGGCGTTCATTAAGGAGGTGGCTAGCTAATGTAAAGATGACTCCAGGCATAATTCCAGGAATCCTTTCTTCCATTGCAACAAATACTCAAGCTAGGAATGAACGGGACCGAGTGTGCGCTTTAGTTTTCGACGAAATAGCACTCAAAAAGAATTTGTACTATGATGCTTCAAGAGACGTTGTCCAGGGTTTTACAGATGATGGCACTCATCGCACTTCAACCATCGCTGATCGAGCACTGGTTTTTCTTCTTGTTGGTGTTTCGAGAAAGTGGGTTCAACCGGTTGCTTTTACTATAGGGCACACATCAACACCATCATCTGTTATGCATAACTTGCTGGTGTCACTCATTTTGGAGCTTAGGAGCATTAATATTGCAGTGAAAGCAGTCATTTGTGACCAGGGCAGTTCAAATGTAAGTCTCGCTAACCAACTAAAAGTGACTGTAGCAAAGCCTTTTTTTGAAGTTAATGGTGAGCGGGTATATTACATTTTTGATGTTCCGCATTTAATTAAAACAACGCGCAATAATGTCCAAGCACACAAGTTATACATTGGGGATGACATCGTTAACTGGTCGCACATTGTAAGCCTTTACCAATCCTCACATGAGTTGCGGTTGCGATTGGCTCCAAAGTTGACTGAACGGCACGTTCATCAGAAACCTTTTTCTAATATGAAGGTCAGCAGAGCAACTCAGGTCTTCAGTGCATCAGTTTCGATTGCTATCACGGCAATGGTGTATGCGAAGGTGCTGCCTGCCTCGGCCATCACTACAGCTCAATTTTGTGATCGTATGGACAGGATTTTCGATGCCTTGAACAGCTCGAGTAAAAAAAGAACTTCGCAAAAGCTGCGGCATGCAATCATGAAAAATGATTCAGAGCTGATTGACTTCCTCCGAGGCCAGCTTCCCTGGATTGCATCATGGCAGTTTGTTGGCAGACGTCAACCACAAACCATCGTAGGTTGGCAAATAACAATTCAGGCAATTTGTCAACTATGGGACGACCTCTCCAAAAATTACAATTTTGAATACCTGTTAACACGCAGGCTTCAACAGGATCCTCTGGAGAACATATTTGGCCACATTAGGCAAAAACAGGGTTGCAACACCAACCCCAATGTAGCACAATTTATTTGTGGCCTGAAGCACATCTGCATAAGAAAACTCTTCAAGCTGTCAGAATACGGAAATGTCGAGGATGATGAATGTGACCTCCTCCAGGAACAGCTGTCGCCATTCTCCCTCACCAGTGCGTCTCTTGTGGATAATGAGGAGTGTGCACAGCCACAGCCTGACGACTTTCCCGCTCTAGACGATCTCTCTGAACTTGCGACAAACATTCACTCCCATATTATCGATGACTCCGCTGCATGTTATGTAGCTGGTTTTCTCATCAAACACTTCCTTCGGAATGCATGTGACGGTTGCAGTTGCCCACAGTTACTGAAAGACGACAGTGAGACGCTTAAGGGTACCCACCAGTATTTCACAATGCTCAAAGCATACCACGTCCCCAGCAAACTTTTTGGGAATCTCACTGTGCCATCAGAAGCAGCTTTTGCATACGTACAACAACTTGAATCTCGCTTTCTTGCCATAATTGAGGCCACTGCACATCACCTGAAAGTGTGCGATGTTTTGTATCACCATCTGTCAAGTGTTGGCGATTTTCATTTCTGCTCTGCTGGGTGTCGCGCTAAGTTTCTGAAAATGTTTTGCCGGGTTCGTTTATGTTGGCATGTGCGTTTTGTGAACCGAAACTTAGACAGGGTTAGGTTCCAGTCTTCAATCTCGGGCATGCAGCTTGACAAGTTCAAAGGTTAGCAATTAGCGGCGGGTTTACACTAAAGTATTGGAGTTGAGCCGAATCCTGCAATAGCTTTGTTATGTTATTACTTCGTTACAGCAGACTTCATTATGGTCTTATGTGCTTATATTCAGTTCAACTGGACTAACCACTCCTTCGTTGCATTCATTGTTTTGGTTACCCGCTATGAGGAGTACAAACACTGTGTATTCGCTCGAAGTGATTTGCATAACCTTAAAAAGAATGTTGGGCATCCTGTCTGTATTTTTTGTAGCAAATACGGGCGAACTGTACACTTTACTGTGGGTCGCTTGGTCACTGTGTATGCTTTATCTCTCCAGCTCAAGTAATATATCGATAACAAAACCGCTTGTTGAAATGTCTTCGAGCGGGTAAGGAACACAGTATGAAGTGGGCACGGTTCATGTTATCACGCTTTTCGTATTTTAGCTTCTCATCAACCTCCTCATCTTGCCCATCAAAATTTTCAAAAGAATACCCAAACTTGTAGTGTTTGATGGGGCTGCGGACGCTGCCATTTTATTTTTATATAGCTTGTGAGTGATAACGTACGATGTAGAGCCTTTGTGAAAAATAATGAGCCAAAGTGGTTTCCTTCTGCTATTTATTAGCCCTGTAATACCGCTCTCGTAGCACCAATTAAAGTCCACAATTCTGGATAAAGTGATGACTACAATCTATTTTAGCTCGCAAGCGTCACAGCAACACCCAAACGCAAATCACTTGGGATCTTAAGTTTTTGATGAAGGCGACGCATAACAAAAGCCACAAGACCTGCCAGTGTTGTAGCATAAAGTTTGTCTTTCACGTAGTGAGCAAGCTGCAAAGCCCTACCTTTCTGAGGACAAGCAGGCATCAAGTCTGCTTTTTTTCATTTTGGACTAGCTGTTCTTAAGCACAGCCAGCACACTGCACCTTTGCCTTTCTGTTATATTGTGTCGTGTGGTTTCTGTGCGCTCTTTTTTTCTATGCATTATTTCAGTTAAGCCCAGGCGTGATTCGCGACTTCATTGCTGTGTATATGTCACTTCTTCCTTCTTCATCAGCATTGTGCGCTATGTTTTTGCCATAGATCCTTAGTTACCCACTGGCCCGGTGTGTCATACTTCACCAGTTTCTCGGCTTCTGCCAACTCTAGCGATGTGTGCGTTGTCTGTGTTCTCTATGTATTTGTTACAATATTTGTTACAATTTATTTGTAAGGCGAGATGCATTTGTTGTCTACCTTTGTCATATTGTGCTTTTTATATTCTCATACTCTACCTTGCCTTTGAATAAAACATTGCGGATGCTCTGTTTCTTTGACTGATATATACATTGATCACTTGTTCCAAAAGAAAAACACAAGCGCGATGAATAAAACGATAGTGAATTATCATTACCTGCATCTCTTTTTTTTATAACTTAATCAAAATAAAAATTACGTCACGACCGATTCGCACGAACCACTGAACAAAACAAAACAGGGAATCGCTAAATCAAAACGACCTACAAAAACTATCCATTTGGGCGATGAATAGTGGTCTGAAATTATGAACTTACGACATAGCCAAACGTCGGTTATGCAAAGTAATTCAAAAGTTGCGCCAGTGAAACCGAAACCGGAAGCGCAAGCCACTTGCTCTCATCAACCACTAGGTGTGCTAGAGTCGATTGGGCCGCTGGGGTCTACGGGAGTGTCCACTCTTCACCTTTTTTATTTCTCTATGCAGGTGGTGATGCGCTGCCCCCCTCCCCCCTTACTTTTCTTTTTTTTCCTCTCAGCTGATCGTGTCGCGTCGACCGCGCGCTACGACGGGGGAAGCTACGCTTCCAAAAATTTTCAGCCAAGAAATGCACTGCGGATAGCACCAAACTCTTACGGAAAAGCCACAATTATAGGAGAAAATTTTTTAGCCAAATTTAGCAGCAGTTTGGCAACAACCACCCTTCCAGTCTGGCAACCACTTATGCAACGCCAAAAGGAACCTTGCCTGCCACAAAAAGGTAAGCAGTCGTCTCTATTAATAGTAGTTGTACTGTCCTCTGTTGGTCGCTATCCCGTATTTAATAGTCATAAATACCTGTCCACATCAGACAGCGTGATAATATAGGGCTATGCTGCCGGGATTCGAGAACATTTTGCTAAGGTTTCCCATGCATTGTGCTGACTTTTCTAGCACCTGTAATAGCTTCTTGAAAAGTTGTGTAACTTGCACCGAGTCATCCTCTCATTACGCTGATATGCTGGAATGGCAAAATTGAATTGTGCTTCGCGTTGCCAATTTGGGACTGAGAGGACAACACTGATGCAATTGTAATGACTCCAAATGCGTGCTTTTCCGCAGCGCACAAACATGGCGGCGAAGCCGAATGTGTAAATGCCAGTGTTTTTATCGTGTGCTTCTCCGCAGCGCACGTGAATAGCAGTGAAGCCGAACTTGTTCATGTATTGCGTCGTTTGTTTTATTTGCAGGCATAGAGAAGAGTGTTCCAAGTTCAAATCAGCACGTATTTTCTTTTACGTTTATCCAACGACTTAAACTTTTTTTTTTTTTCAAATTATGTGGACGCATTTGTAATGGACTTGCCACCAAAATTCCAAGCTCTCATTTTTGGAGGAGGTGCTGGGTATCGAAAGGTAGTAAGGGATCACGGCCAAAGAGAAGATAAAATGGTGAGTAGCCGGCAGTTTCATGACGCGGCGAGTTATAGGCGAAGGTTACGAACGGAAGGGCAGTGTACCAATCGGTGTGGTCGTCAGAAACATGCATAGCAAGCATGTCCGTCAGTGTGCAGTTGAGGCGTTCAGTAAGTCCGTTAGTCTCAGGATGGTAAGAAGTCGTAAAGCTGTGCCACGTAGCACAGGATCTAAGTAGGTCGTCAACCACACGAGGCCACGGTCTGTGAGTAGGTGAGAAGGAGCGCCATGCTGAAGGATGATGTCATAGAGTAGGAAATCTGCGATGTCCGTCGTGCAGCTGGTCGGTAGCGCGAGTAATTGCATACCGAGTGGCATAATCCGTAGCTACTGCTATCCATTTGTTTCCTCGTTGCTGATGTTGGGAAGGGACCTAACAAATCCAAACCCACCCGATGAAACGGCTCGGCTGGGACTTCAATAGGTTGAAGGTGACCGGCACGTAGGCTTCTTTTGACGCTGGCACAGGTCACACGCTATAGTGTAGCAGCGAACGGAACGATAAAGACCCTTCTAGAATACCTGTCGGCTGATGCGGTCATAGGTTCTGGACACACCTAAATGTCTGGAAGTTGGAGCGTTGTGAAGTTCTTGCAAGATGTGCTTGCGCAGATGACGTGGGACGACGAGCAAAAGTTCCACGCTATCGGGCTGTAAGTTGCGGCGGTACAAAACGTTGTCTTGAAGAAAAAACGGGCCCATTGAAGGGTCTTTATGGCTGGATTGAAGACGGCCAATCATCGATAGCAGCGATAGATCTCGGCGTTGTTCGTAGGCTATTTGCAGAAAATCTGTTATGGCTAAGATGTTGGCATCAACTTCTAACTCAGAGGAGTTGAGTGAATCAACAGGGTGTTGAGATAAGCAGTCGGCATCGCTGTGAAGCTTGCCAGACTTGTACACTACAGATAATGTGTACTCCTGCAATCGCAGTGCCAATCGCCCGAGTCTTCCTGTAGGATCCTTAAGGGTTGACAGCCAGCAGAGCGCATGGTGGTCTGGTATGACTGCGAACGTGCGTCCATATAGGTACGGACGAAATTTTGCGATAGCCTAGATGAGAGCCAGGCACTCTTGCTCAGTAATTGAATAGTTCCTTTCTGACTGAGAAAGTAGGCGGCTAGCGTACGCTATGACACGGTTTGTGGCATTCTGCATTTGTGCGAGTATCACCCCTATGCCATGGCTACTTGCGTCTGTGCGAAGCTCCGTTCGAGCGACTGGGTCAAAATGAGCCAAGACATGTGGTGATGTGAGCGCAGAAATCAACGACGCAAAGGAATGTTCTTGGTCTTCACGCCAGGAAAAAGCCACATTGTTTTTGAGGAGATTCGTGAGGGGCCGAGCAATTTCCGTGAAGTTGCTGACAAAATGGCGGAAATATGAACAGAGTCCCAAAAAGCTGTGTACTTCTTGCGTGGAACGTGGGACCGAGAACTCACGTACAGCGCGGACTTTATCAGGGTCTGGTCGTACACTAGTAGCATCAACAAGGTGGCCAAGTAGCTTTATCTGACGGTGTCCAAAGGTGCACTTAGATGTGTTAAGCTGGAGGCCAGCACAGCGAAAAACGTCAAGAATGGCCGAGACGTGGAAAATGGCTTTCAAAGGTTGGCGAGAAAACGATGACACCGTCTAGATAGCAAAGGCATGTCGACCATTTAAAACCACGAAGGAGGGAGTCCATCATGCGTTCAAAAGTTACTGGCGCATTGCACAATCCAAAAGTTATGACTTAAAATTGATAAAGCCCGTTGGGTGTTACAAATGCCGTCTTCTCCCGGTCACGGTCATCGACTGAAATTTGCCAATATCCAGATCGTAGGTTCAGGGAAGAAAAATACTTGGCATCATGAAGGCAGTCAAGCGCATCATCAATTCGAGGTAGAGGATACACATCCTTCTTGGTTATTCGATTGAGATGGTGATAGTCGACGCAGAACCGTCAGGTGTTGTCCTTTTTAACAAGCACTATAGGTGATGCCCAATGACTGGTTGTAGGCTCTATGATGTCTTTGTCGAGCATTTTCTCTACCTCCTTCTGGACTGTTTGGCGCTCTGAATGAGACACAGTAAGGATGCTTATGAAGGTGTCTGGCGTTGCCAGTGTCGATACAGTGGGCTACGACGCTCGTGCGGCCCAAGGAACGGTCGTCGATATAAAAATAGTCGAGGTAAGAAAATAGAAGACCACGGAGCGTTTCAACTTAGGATGGCGTCAGGTCGTTTCATTTCATTTTGTCTAGGAAAGCTTTATTCTCTGCGGTTGCGACAGGTTCGGCTACAGTCTTGATGTCAGGAGTGAGAGATGCAATTGTACATTGCTCCAGAGTGGAGAATTCTGCTAAGGCAATACCTTGAGGAATGACCTGGTGTGACACGGAGAAGTTGAGAACAGGGAGAAGCTTCTTGTTGTCGCTAATCCTCACTATAGTATGAGGAAGTATGATGTTCGGGGAAAGGGTCAGGTCAATGAGTGGAACTGCCAAGTGTTCGCCATCAGGAACAGGTGGGAACGGCGATATAGAAAGGTACACAGCGGCCTGAGGCGGTAATCGTAGACACTCCACGCAGCGTAGCCGTATGCGAGCTGCAGGAGGGACAATAGAGTACGAAGGCAACTCTAGCTGTAAAGTGCCAGTTGAACAATCGATGAGGGCTGAATGCGCGGTCAAGAAGTCGATGTCGAGAATCACGTCGTGAGGGCAAGCGTCTAGAACAGTGAAGAGGACTGAAGTGTGAAGGCTGGCAACAGTGATGCGGGCAGTGTACATACTAAGAACTGATGTTCGGCTGCCGTCGGCTACTCGCACAGTCGAAGACATGGCAGGAGTAAGAACTTTTTTCAGGCGGTACGAAGATGTAAACTCGTAACGAATATGTGGGCACCAGTGTCTATTAGAGCTGTAACGGTCAGGCCATCGATAAGAACACCAAGTAAATTTCATCAGGAATTAGTGGTCGGTAGAAGTTTTTCGTTTCGAGCTGTCAATGCAGCGCCACCTCCAGGAGCTGCATCTGCTAGTTTCCCGAGAACTGCTCAGAATTCGCTGGTGACGGGGAGCGAGGGTGGTGATAGGAGCGCCGCTGGCGACCCTGAGGCGACGGCGAGCGGCTAGATTGGGTTCCCTGGGCGACGACATCGGCGTAGGATGGTTCGGAGTGTAGCGTAGAACGGCTAGGTGGGAGGTCCCGAAGGTGGTCATCGGCAAAACGAGGTGGCGAATACTGCCCACGATTCTGTCGGTTGTCCTCTAGAAAACGTTGCCGGAAAGACCATCTGTTGCGGCAGTGGCGGGAAATGTGGCCAACACGATTGTAAGAGAAGCATATTGGTCGATCATCTTGTGTGTGCCACTCAGACGGATTTCGGTAGCGCGATGAGAACCGCAGGTCCGACGCGGCAGCAGCAACAAGTGGGGCGGCGTGGTAGTGAGTGTTAGGATTTATGGGCTGCAGTGTGTAGCTGGAGTTTTGGAAAACTAAGACGCCCATGTTGGCAAACTCTTGTCGCACAACAGCCTGAATAAAAGATATTGGGGCCAAGTTGTCAGGCACAGGGGTTGATAAGCGGAAGGAGCCATGGCTTCCAGCTCCTGGCGGACAATTCTTGTGATGTTGGGAGGATTCACGAATGGACGTGGCACCACAGGATCCTCGCAGGAAGAAGTGGCAGCGGTGTTCGGGAGTCGGGAAAAGCGTTGAGTGATTATCCGGCTTTTGGCTTGTTCGAACCGCTGACATTCACTGACAATTGAGTCAATGGTGGTACAATTCTTGCAGATCAGAATGTTGAAGGCATTGTCAGCTATGCCCTTCAACACATCGCTAACCTTGTCTAGTTCGGTCATGTCTTGGATATAGGTGACGTACGACAAGTCACGGAGCTTCTGCTTGCACACGTCCCAACTCGTCAGGTCTTCCTCGTGCATTTCGTACCAGACGCGTGCAGTACCTCGCAGGTAAAAGATGATGTTGACCAGCATAAGCATCTCATACCACCTGTATTGCTTGCTGACACGCTCGTATAAGGCGAGCTAGTCGTCAACGTCAGTTGTGTCGGTGCCGCAAAATGTACCTGGATCGAGAAGATGGGAAGGGATCACAGTTGACAGAGCAGACGTAGACTGAATGGACGGCGCACTGCCTTCAGGCATCGTGGCTGGACGAAGCTGACGTCCGCTTCCGAGATCCAGAGTCGGAATGTTACCCAGCACTTACACCAAAAATATGTAACGGGGAGTATTTAATAAGTAAATGCCGGTTGGGCTAACACTGCACATAGTGTGCAAGGATGCAGGACAACAGGGCAGTCCAGACACAGCCCCACAACAACGTCGTCGTCTTCATTCCTTCTGCATAATTTCTGCACCCGTGCCTGAGGTACCTTTTTATACCCGTGACAATATTATGGAAGAAAATTTCATCAAACCTGCCTTCTACACACTGCTGTACCAGGGAATGGACATGTTGGCTGTTTCTCATGCTAATACATACTGGGCGACAGAAAGGCCATGGGATGAATTTGTAAGCAACTATTCAGTCGAGGTTACATCTCCTAAGCCCAGAGACAGATCATGCATTGTGGCACCACTGTAAACTAACACATACCCAAATTAAGACACACCCAAAGCTACATTCTGCAGTATACTGAGACGAGCGCCCCTGGAGCTTAGCGGTGCGAACACTGACACATATTATGTACGAGTGTCCTTCATGTCCCTGTGAGGTGAATTAAATAGAGGTCAACACAATACCACATCGGTTTTGGGAAATGTGTCTCTCTGAGAAGGCCTTGAAGAGTCTAGTGGCTGACTTGGAGCTGGCCCATTAAGCAGGTAGTCGGTGAAGCCCGAAGAGCCCCACTAACCTTTGCTCTGAAAAACACTTCAGTTATATAAATGTTCCCTCTAATCTTGCTAGAGCCCAATGCATGCAAGCTTGATCAGACAACTCGCTTTGCTAACATTCGTGGCATCCCCTCCTGGTCCTTTTACGCCGAAGCCTGCAAGAGACACTAGCAAGCTTTTGCTTTTCAAGTTTTGTTTACTTTCAGCTTGAATCTGATCCTTCAATATAATCTACTCAGTAAACTATTATATAAATTAAAAATATAGCATCTTATTTCATTTAACAAAACTGCAAGCAAGAAGCAAATGGAACAGCTACTGCATTATACCCTTTTACCAACGAAGTGCCAAGTTGGGCTTGTTGATACATTATTCTGGTGCACTGCAGTGCAGTTTTATATACTGAAACATGTCTTCGCAGTCAGAATCATGCTTTTCTACAGTCTGAGCGGTTTATCCAGCCGCCGTCTTTTGCAAAGGTATGCAGTGTGTTGCACCCCAGTGATAGCGCACACAACCATATAGCAAGATACGAAAATTCCAATGTACCAGAGTTCCGAAAACTCCAATGTTTCACTAATGCATAACAGTAATAATAATAAAATGACGACATGAAACTTACTGGACTAGTCAGTAAGGTTAAGAGCTGGGCTAGTTTGTGACTGATGATTATATCGTATGGTGAAGTAGCAGACTTTTGACATGGACAAAGGGGACAAGAATGTCATGCCTGTCTTGTGCCCTTTGTCTATGTCAAAAGTGCGCTATTTCACCATATAGTATAATGATTAGACTGCTCAGCCTCATCATTGTGCGAAATATTTATGAATATAATTTCAAATAGGATAAAAGGCACACACTTGACTTGAAATGGACGTTGAAACCATGTTTGAAATTTTGTAACAATTTGGGCTACATCATCATTTAATAAGTTGTACCACTAATCAAGCCATATACTGTGTATCAAGGCAGCTACAAGGAATTATACCCTCCTTCTTGACACTGCTTTGCCTCTTGAACTTGTCAAACCGCCAGCCATTACTGGCAACTGCAGGGCTCTCGACAGGTCAGGCTCCATTGAGTGCCCTGTCGGCCGAGAGAGATCAAACACATAGAGTGGTTAAGATTGGATCCGCCACACTACCAGCAGTTCTTATTCTATTCTCTTGAATGGCTACACTTTCCAGGCAGGGGGACAAACAAAGAGTGTTTGAGAACAATTGGCGTGAACTCGTACAATGTAGTTGTCTCTTGAGGAGTGACGCTACAGCTGCACAAGCATGGATCTTGTAGGTGTTGAATGGATAGCGAAAGCCCAACACTCACTGCAGCTGAGCTGACACAGTGTTGAAGCATTACAGGTCACCACTTGCTGGATTTGTGGCACATAACTCAGCTAGGACAATCAGTGGTTCAGTAGGGTTGATAGCTGGGCTAGTTGGTGAGACATCAATTAACCATATGGTGTAGTAGCGCAAAATTTGATGGGGACGAAGAGGACAAGAAAACACGACACTCGTAGCGAGTGTCGTGTTTTCTTGTCCTCTTCGTCCCCGTCAAATTTTGCGCTACTACACCATATGGTTAAATGACAATCAGTGGTGTCAGAGAAAAGCGAATTTGGCAATAAGCACTGTCTACCATTCCCGGTCAACATAGAGCACATTGGAAAACAAACACATGGCACTTGCCTCCAATTGGAGGCAAGCGTCATGACTACTGTTACAAGCAAATTAGTTATTCCAGGACCAGCAGCAGTCACCCATACGTTGTATTATAGACTGCTGCACCCGACCTCCATAAGCATTTTCATTCTATGTGTTTAGGCAGCAAACTTCATTTAGCAGCTTCACCATTGTCTGCCTAGCACAGATATTCCATAATATCAACTGATAGTTATGCGACGAATATGAAGCTGCACGCTGTCGTAATCACCTTGCTTGTAGACTACAGCAACTTGGAAATATTTTCCTCTGTAGATTTCCCCAAACTCTTCTTACTTTAGGTACAAGAAGTTTATTGCCAGCATGACAAATAAAGTAAGCGCTAAGAGTGACTACATTCCATTCAGGTAGCCGAGTTCCTTCAGCTGACTTGGCAAAGTAGCTTTAACAGGCCTCTTACAAATGAGCGTTAGCAACTTTTATGCCTTAATACATGTTTGTCTGATAATAATCAAGTTGAATTAAAAATGCTGCACTGTAATGTATAATTAATGTTAGCATCATCAGTTGAGATACATTTTTGAAATCAGTGATTGCTTCAAAACACCCACCAAAATTTTTAAAAATTAGCACAAGAGCATGGTGGAGTACCATGTTTCAGTAAAAGCTTCTTAATTCGAATTGAAAGTAAAATTGTTTGATTTAGTGAGCAGGCACTAGAATGCACAGACGATCGTATCACACGGTGCGGCGAGAATCCAGAGAGGGCACCTTTGGACTCATTCCCGCTAATTAGGTGATAGTGCACTTTTGTGGAAGGTCATTTCATAAATTAAGTTCATGCTTTAATAGTGAACAGAATTTATTGATTAGTCAGGGATACGCCACAAACAAGCAGAGACGCATATACGTGAGCATTGGCCCCATGTGCCAAAATATGTGAAGCTATTTGTGTTTTAAAACACATTTATTTACATAGCAGAGCTAATTCAATCAATATTTAGAGTTTTTCTTAGTTTATTTAGAACAATGGTGAAATTCGTCCCAAAATATGGCTAAATGCAAATATGGCCGGACTAGGCCGTTCCATCTATACCGCAGTAGTAGCAGACAAATTACATTTACAACCATAAAATCAATCATGAAAATCAATAACTGCACTTGTTTTACACAGATGAAAGTAATGAGGGATTTGGATGACCATTCTTGGCCGATTTCTGCAAACGTGGACGAAAGCCAGGGGGCTCCCAGTTTGAATTAACCTTTGTTGATAACGTCGTGTTCAAGTTATTTGAAGTTTTAGCCCATTGAAATACATAAGGCTGTGCCGAGACCAGGGTGCCAGTTTTAATTAACCAAGTTTGAATGAATGAGCTTCTACTGCATTATGTACCAGGCCAAATTTCAGTGACATAGCATGCTGGGAGAACTAGATGTGGCATCAGGCACAGTCCTCTGCCAAACTTTGTTTACAGATGCCGGCTGGGCATCCTGTTTCACAATCTTTCTTAAAAAAACTATTTGAATGGTTGTGTGTTTTTGCACTGTGTATATTAAAATACCACTGGCGTAAGCAGCCAGCACCACCTAGAAAGCAGCCCAAGAACACTGCAAGAGAGGTGAATGACGATAGCCTTCGTCGTGGATCCTGCAAATTTGTCTGTCATTGATGCCTGCTATACTCGTAGAGCAGGTGAATTGTAACATTAGGCCTGAGCAGCCACTAAATTCATCGTACTGGCTATGAGTTCACAAGGTGTCACCGATTCAGGCACTTGTGTTTACTTTGAAACCATATTTAAATGTGTTTGAGATTACGTTCACCAGAAATAAATGGTATGAGATTCTTATGCGTAATATTAAAAGCTCGACATACAGTCTGCACATCTTTAAATATAAAAACCAAAGCAAATTTTCACATTGTAATTTTTATTGGCATTTCAGGAACAACATGGCCAAATGACTAAAGTACGTGCCACTTCTGGATGGAAATTGCGCATTCAAGAATGGTTGCGAAATGTAAAAGGAAGATATTGGCATTCTCCTTTGCACCATCAACTGTCCAACATCTGCAAGCTGCAAAGGTGAACACACTGTCATGCAAACAGGACCACTGATACAAGTTTGTTTGGCTGTGGTAGAGAGGACAAAAAACATTTTAGTTTGCATGCACCAATAACAGGAATGAAGGCCTAAGATCAGCTCCACCAGTTTAAGTAGGTTCCTAGGAGCGTGCATGCCAGCATTCAGTCTGTTTTACTCGATCATAATTGCTTATTCTTTTGCTCTATTTTTGTGTGCATTTACCTGCCAGGCAATCATATTCTAAACAGATTGTAATACTCTGGTATTCTAGCACTATCAAAAAAGGAAGAATTAGGCAAGTAACTAGGAGGGCAGGGCTCTAGCTTGTGCACGGTTCTCTGCTCAAAAAACAAAAATGGCCTAGTTAGTACCTTGCATGTGTACTTGTATTAGTTGCAATAACCTTTAAGAAGGCCATCTTCCCAGCTTTCCCTGTGACAGCCTGCTGCGTTTTCCACGGAGGCGTCGCGATTTTTTGTTACAGCGGAGCGGAGCTCTTTTAGCGGAAAGTTCTGCAAAACGGATATGTGCCAAGCAGCTCTCAGCATAGCTTCGCATAGAGTAAGGGTGGGAAAGGGAAGCAAGAGTGACGAGTGATCTTAGGAGGAGTAGAGGGCATAAAGCATAGCATGGTCTATCATAGTATTGGGGGTGAAAAGTTACGGAATCGCCCTCTAATGGATGTGCCTCGTTTGTGTACTTGGTAGGACAGCGTCCGTACATTCTTCATAAATTTGGCTATCAATGCTTAATAAAAACATCACGCTGAAGTCCTGATGGTCATTTCTGTGAATAATTTCAAATGAAAGGAGTTTTACAGTCAAAATATTAATCTTAAATGAAAAAAAAAAAGCAGAAAGTTGTTTATAGGCACTTTCTGTTTACAGAAACTGTACAGAGTGTGCACATTGCGCGTAACTGCTGCTAGAGCCTGTTAGTCTAAAACGAGCTTTTCGGTTATGGTGTCAATGCTTTCTACCGTCTAATCTCTTGTAATCAGGGCTTTGTGATATGCCTTTTGGTCTCGCATGTTTACATACTAGTTAACAATGATTTAAAGATATGACTCACGACATATATATTTATCAAGAGCTCCCAGTGAAACAGTTTGCGGTGGGAGGTCATTGCAGCTTTCCTCTAACTCACGTCACTGATAAATAAATATTGAGATGGCGCATGAATGCTAGTGCGTAATGTGTGTGAATATACTTGGAGTCCTAAGCAGACATAATGCTGAAATTTAGTTGATAGAACCATAGGCCAGTGATAAAAGGTGGAGCTCACTCAGACTTGGCAATACTTTTCTCAACAAGACTCACTCCAACTTATACTCACCTAAATATAACTCAGCCAGTCTGTCTGGGCAAGTTGACTCTTGAGCGAGTTTGCCAACTTACTGTTGTAGCCAGTGTTAAGTTTCACAATCCAACCTACACTCATGCCCCTGCCACACAGCCTTCCTTTGAAAAAGAGATTTGCCCTCAGACACAAGACGGAGAGCGATCTCTAATTTAGAAGCAGTTTTTTCTGGAAACAGGGTTTGTTGCTCTCTTTCACAACCATAAAAGAGTAGCTGCAAAACCAGAAGGCCCCACCAATTATGAACTTAAGAATAAATTAGCAAATGTTTATTATTCTGTTGCCTAGGCTCATAAAAAATATATTGTAGAAGGTGTGAAGAACCCTTTAAATGCTATTTCCTTGTGAACTCTCTATGCAGGTGGAATGCATTGGGTATATTATATGAAGATGCAGGGCACATCACATGCACGGTTCAAAAAACGTGGCACTGTGCCAGTAACCAACGCCAATAACCAAAGAGACCTGGATACATGCAAAAAGCTACAGCTACGATTATTTTAGAGGGAACAGATTTTATAGGCTGAGGTATGTAATTTTGTCTTGCCTGGTTCTGTTTGTCAAAGCAGTTTCCATGCTTTTGGTGACATGTTCAGAAAAAACACTAGATAGATGTTCTTGGTGCTGTGTGTTTATGAAACATTGCTTCCTCATTAAGTCTTTCTTTAAACCCTGTAAAAGATCGCTTATGTAAAAGAGTTTTGTGAGCTCATGTAACGTCTTTTCCACGCTGATGGTGGCACCAGCTTTTCCAGTGGTAGGTTTCATGCTCACTATTGCAGTTAAAAAGTATGTGTACAGCAATCACACCGGTATTGGGGGTAATATTGAAATTTGGTTGTTATATACTCAGCGACAACTTATGTTGATGTTGGAGCACAGGCTATGGAGGTGGGGCTTCTGCACATTTGTGTTGCTCTGCAAGTTAGGCAGTTTTTGGATGAGGGAAAATTCTAGACGCCACAAGAAGAACAAAGGAGCACAGGGTGTGCTTCTTCGTTCTTGTGGTGTTTTAGGCATCTAGAATTTTCTCTCATAATTATGTACCAACTGGACTAGCAACAAGTACTCGGATCATTTTGGTTTTGCTCGCTCGCGTTGTTAAGGCCTATGGCAGCGCACACCAGACTACACCAAGGGACGACACAAGTGTCGATTGTCGTTCCTTTGTGTGCGTGTTCGTTCTGTAACCTGGTGTGGGCTGCCATATGCCATAATTGCTTACCAACTAGCCCGTATGTCTTACGCATAGTTACAAATTTTCAAAATTATATACATGAAACTATGAATGGGACAAACATTTCGATGGTTCATTCTACATTTCAGTGCTGCATGTTACGAGTATATTTTTCTTAGAGAAATAAAAAGCGCGTTTGCAGCCACACACTGACCTACTACTTCATGAACGTCATATTTGCTTTGAAAATTGAACGTGCTGAAAAGGTGGTAGTAAGCAAAAGAAAGGGAAAACATTCTTGCAAAGTGAACAATAACAGCATTTTATGTATTACTTCCAGTGATCGAAGTGCTGCTTCAATTGCTCCGAACTGCTCCAAATGAGGATTGCTGCTGCATGCGGCTCCAAGCAGTAATTTTTGTTAGTAATTGCTCCAAACCTGCTCTGAAATGACACTGAGAAAACGAGAATGACGAACTTCTTTTTGAAAGAAACTGAAAAGAATCTGTGTACTATCATTCCAGTGTGCAGTATTATCAGGTCTGAACTCATTTGTGTGGCAAGAATTGGCATATTAAGCATATAGCTCATTTGACTGTTTTCTTTTTCTCAGCTAGACATGCAGGTTAGTGGGGGGAAATGTGAAAATCAGCACGATTGCTTTCATCTCATACCGATTATCTACTTTTTTTTTGGCAGCAGTTTATGTGGTATTGTGGTTACTTCTAAAATGTGGCATTCAGCTTTTCCTGGTTCAATTTGATTTCTGCCACAAATACTGGTATTTTAAATAATAGCTCATTTCACAGCTCATTTTTGACAACCTGCCATTGTTTGTTTCATGAAATTTGCATTTATTGTTGTCTGTAAGAGATACTAACATTTGTGAGATGCTTTGATAACGCTCTGAACTCCGTAATGTATGGCAAATTCAATATCTACTCATAAAACATCAATAGCTGCTCTAAGCTAGCATTATTTTCTGCTCCAAAGTATGCTGCAGAAAGTGAAAAGGCGCTTCCATCACTGTACTTCCTGCAACTGTTTAAATCTCATAATAATTAGTAAAACAATTTATTTCAGCAAAGCAAATGAGAAAATTATTAGTAAACTTGGTGCTATTCATTTCTGTAGCTTCCTCAATGCTGTCAAGTCACTGAGTGATAGATGTGTTACACAGTAACTACAGATAGCACCCAGAGAGCATGACGCTGCTCTTTCAGAAGTGCTTGGAACTTTTTCTAAGCATTGTTGAGCATGCGACATAAGCATACCTGCCAAGTCTCCCGGATTGGCCGGGAGACTCCCGCAATTCGACCGTTTTTTTCCGGTTGTACGGTTGTCATGAAAATCTCCTGGAAATCGAAATTTCTGTGCGTGATCTGGCCGCATTGACAAAAAAAAAAAAAAAAAAAGCAGCTCAATCCGCTCCAGGCTTTTTGAACCTACCCCATTTTATTATAAATGAGTTTAAGAGGCGTTCATGTAAATGTACAGTATAATCTCAGTGATGTGAAACCGCGGCAGATAAGAATTCTTGAAATTCCCCAGCCAAATTTTACTGTGTTCATTGGGCCTCAATTCGAATGTTCCGAACACATTTCCTAATCGCGGCGGGTGGTGCGAACTTCAGTACGGAAACCGTCGAACAAAGGCCGAGAGCAGCGTACTTGAAGCTTCGAAAGTACGCTTGCGACCGGCGCAGGCACTGTCTTCTACAGTGCGTGTGATTGTCGTTGCCACAACCGCTGTGGACGAAACCGTGGTTGCTCTTGACACGATCATGTATGGCGACAATGTAACCAACAGAACCCCGAAAGTGTGCGCTCAACCAGTCAAAGCAATGCTGCTTTACATAAACTATGTGGCAGGTGCTATCGTAGATGGCATAAAACGACTTAGTTTTGAAGGCGCGTGCGCAGCCAAGCGCATGGGGATTGTAAAATGAACTACCATTTGCCGCAACCGCTGTGCACGAAACTGCGGTCGTGGCGATGCGATAGTGATCTACGAGCTCCGAGGGCACGCAGTGGTAGGTTAAAGGCAGTAAATACGCAAAAAATAAAAAAAGTTTCAGTTTCACCGCAAGGGCGAAGCAATAAATGCGACAGCAACAACTTGGAATCTAAGGCTGAAAACGGCAAGCAGATCGAAACGTTCATCGTGCTGCTCACACACAAATAGCGCACGAAAACTATACTCGCAGGACAAGAGCGAACTAACAACGTTAACCGCTCGACGCATAACGCGCTGATCACAGGTACAGTGCGTACAATCAAGTGTCCCATTAGTTACTTCTCGCTGTGTATGAAAAGCGTGCTGTTTTCGCAAAAGGGGCCTGTGCAGAGACCAAAGTGACCTTTGTGGGCTGGCAACTAACACTTTCGTTTCAGTGAAAGCCAATGGCACATGATTTCACCACAAAAGGATAAGCGCTTGCGCACAGGCATCCATCCATGGGGCAAAGTACACGCACTTTTTTTAATCCAGCGGCCATGGTACACGTGAGAGATAAGCACGCGTCGACGCCGAGCGCGGGCGGCTTTTTTTTCTTTGAGTGTTCATATATAAGATACGTATACATATGTGGTGAAAAACGGCGCTGGTGGCGACGGCGAAAAAACAGCCTGGACTGTCCATATAATTGCTACCGCAATAAAAAGGGGCCAGACGCGTTGTGGCGTTCCTGTCAAAAGAATCTAGTAGTGAGCAAAGCTTTGACCCGCGCTTTTGCGGCAGCCAGCTGCGCCATCCCGTCCGTTCACGTGTGTTCCAGGAAGACATACGAGAGTTGTTTCAATTGAAGTAGATTCCGCTAGTTGTGTTGATCCTTTCAGACTCTCAGCTTAGTGAAAACCTCTACCCTCGTGTGTTCGGCCACTCCTATAGCCACTATAAGACCGCAACGCTGATTTTGGCACTTGTGATTGAGACCCCCCTTCAACCCCCTTTTGTTTTTCGCGATGTTTTGTTTATTTGTATGTCCTTGTTTTTTGTTGTTGTTTTTTTGCCGCGCACCCCCTCTCCCCTCCTTTCCCGTTGCGGCAATCTCCCGGATTCAGAATTCTTGGACTTGGCAGGTATGCATAAAGTGCCAACCACTGGCCCGCGTTCGCTCGCGTCTACGCGTCAAAAGCGTCAAATGCGCCTCTCGGCGTCGGCTTCGGAGGGGAATACGCGAGCAGGCGCGAGGGATCAAGCCGGGCTTGATATTTCGCCTCGCGTACGCTACGTCACCACGCGTACAGCGGCGCCAACCAACCAGAGGCCGCGCGCCAACCAACCAGAGGCCGCGATGACTCCGAATGCTGTGCCTAATGGCCGCCGCTTCGAAGGCACAGCCGAGTGCTGAAAGCAAGCATGAAAACTACTCCTAACGTTCCTGAATGACCGCTTCGTAATCTAGAACGACAACGAAACGACGAACGACTGCGAGTGCTACCAGCGTGACGCGGTTTCGTGCCGAGTTCGAGCGACGCCGACAAATCCAGCGAATGCCGGCCGGCTATGCTAGCGCCGGACCCCTGTGCGATCGTCGGCCGAGCGAAAGGAGCATGTCGGTGTTCTTGTGCTTTCATCTGTGACTTTCTGTGCTAAAAACGAGTGCGAACATACTTCGGAGGTTCGAAGGTTTGAGCGTGAGCCCTCGCCTACCGCGGAGGCAATTCAGATCGGTGTCATCTGCATCCAGCGCAGGCCTCTACCATCTGGTTCGTATGAACCAGCACATGCGAGGCACATCGGCTGAAAAAAACTCTACGGTAGTTTCCGTCGCAACATAGACACCATATACGACGACCGAAATATCGCGTAGGTCATACGGAGGAGTTTTTATCTGCACTGTGTTTGTGTTTGTTTTCAACATCAATATTCATCATCGCTGAAAGCGAACCTCGCACTAGCCAACACATTTCCGTGATGTGAAAACGTACGTACTTATATAAGTGTATTCGCGAATTGTATGACGCGGAAACATTCGTTGGCTTCGGTGCTAATCGTTTTGTGTGTTGCCAAGCTAATCATAAGCGTGCGCTGGTTGGTAGCAGTGAGATGCGACTTCGTGTCGGGTACCAGCGACGCTGACACACTGGGCTGTCAGCGGTCTCATTTCCATTCACGTACAAGACAGAAACTCGAGCGTGCGTCGCTGTGGTGATCGAAAAAGAAAGTTGCATGATTAATTGCTGCTGGTATTGCCTGCTATTTCACTTCTCGCTTCTTCTGCTTCTGTGCTACGCTCAGTAGCACATACGTTGTTTGGAGGCATTCTAACACACACATTCTTAATTTGTAGTTCATTCTGATACTCATAGCTATAGGCATACAATGGCGCTTCTCCGTCATTTTACAG